ATAAAATTTACTGGCCTATTGTTTTTAAGATGAAATTCTAAGAACATCTTTCTTACAGAAAGCACCGCTGTGCCTGTTTACACTTACTTCTATATGCAACCTGCCAGCCAGGAAAAGCTGAAGGGGAAGATATTTTAAATTAAAAGAATACATAATTTTTCTCCTGCCTGGAAGGTGTAAGCATCAAGGCGACATGCTGAGCGAGTGAGGACAAGTCTGCCTATATAATACATAAGCTTTCATGTGGCCTGAGAGGTGAAATGGTCAGTCTGTCCCCAGAACAGAGGCCAGAGCAGAGCTGGCAAAAGCCCTCAGGAAATAAGTGGTTTGACCTTTGGTTTTTGCTCAACTCGATCCTCACCTGCGGTTGGATTCTCAGATTTGCAGTAAATTCTCTAACATACAGTACACCCTTATTTAATTGTTAGCATAAGAATGTCTTATTGCTACATATGCATTTTTAATATTATTTACTATTTTGTTGAGTTTTTTTCTTTTCCAGTATTGATTGATCACTGACTCCTGGTATACTAATTGAGTGACACATTATTTAATATTTATTATTATAATAGTAGCTAATATTTATTGAGCACAATGCTAGACACTGCACAGAGGTCACTTTGTCTAATCTTCATAATAATCCAGAAGGCTAATGTCTAGGCAGTTGGTGCCTGGCTGAGAAGGCAAAATCAGCCCTGGTCCCTATCCACTGAGCTCTGTGTTCATGTTCCAGGAGGAAAGGAGATGTTTTCTTTACACAAAAGCAGCAGCCAGAATTGGTGCATTTGTCCCCTTGATCATGGATGAAAGAGATATCTTATCCCATTATCCAGATTAAGAAACCGAGGTGCAAAGAAGTTAGGAACTTCCCTGAGGGTACACAGCTGGCAGGAAGCGGTCGAGGAACTAGTCCACATCCAAACTTGCAGCCCAGGCTCTTATCCCAATGCTGTTGGTGTCTTGTCTTTTTCCACTCCCAGGAATGCTCAGTCCTTGTCTGTGAGTGCCCAGAAAACAGGCATTTACATCCTCATGGGCTGCCTTAGGTCCTACACAATACGCCTTGTCAGTGAGCATATACATGCGGGGCATTCTTGACACTAAAGGAATGATTGCTCAGATCTTTAGGCAGAGACCTCCAACTACCACACCCAGTTGCTTTAGACTGCAATTTCACAATGCGACAGGAAGAGAAGAGGCAGTGAGAAATGTCAGGGAGACAGTGCGCGGAGGAAATCAACCCTCCAGATTCTCTTTTCTAAGGTGTGCCCAGTTCTGGAGACAAACAAAAGCTTCGAGCCTGGAGGTCAGGCAGCTGGATGGGAAAAGCTTAATGAGAACCGCCTACCTATCTCCCTTGCATCCACCACTCACATCTTTGTGAGTCCTTGAACCATCAGTCTGTCCATAAAATACACCTGCCTTCAGTTTCCACCATTTAATACATTTCTCTGGGTTATAGTGCTCCTACCTGCCGCCACCACCCTCCAGTTTCTTCCTGCTTGCTCCCTGATGCCTGAAATTCCTTTAACATGGAACAAAGGCTTTCATTTCATAGAGAGTGATGAGGCTTAAAATGCAAGCACCCCTCAGAGAGGTAGCACAATGATTTAAATTCACACCGTGTAACTGAGGTATAAATGAGTGATCAGGTTTTTTTCCTGAGAGCACCTTTTTATGAGGGAAAGGCAAAAGAAAGAAAAAGTATGCTAGAAAAAAGCAGTGTTGAAGAAGGAAGGGTAGTCTCGAGAGGGTAAGGGACATAAGTCTGTGGCTTTAGCATCCACCTGCCCCAATGGGTCCTGGATAGCACGGTGCGGGGAAGAGATGGGGTCTTCTCAGGGTGTTGGCTCTGGTTTGAAACCCAGCTGTGCACCTCTGACATGCTACCCGACTTCGTGCATCCTAATTTTCTCACCTGTAAAATGAGGGAAATAAAACCCACCATGCCCATCTGCTTTGGGGGTTATTTTATTTTAATTGTGATGAAATAACATAACATAAAACTTACCATCTTAACCATTTTTAAGTGCACGGTTCAGTGACATTAAGCATATTCACGTCATTGCGTAACTGGCATGTATTTCCAGAACTCTTTTCATCTTGCAAAACTGAAACTCTGTACCCGTTAAACAATAACTCTGCATTCTTCCCTCTTCTCAGCCCTTGATAACCACCATTTTACTTTCTGTCTCTGTGAATTTGATCACTCTAGGTACCTCAGCCAAGTGGAATCATACGGTATTTGTCCCTATATGACTGGCTCACTTCATGAGCAAAATGTCCTCCAGGTTCATCCATGTTATAGTACACATCAGATTTCCTTCCTTTTCTAAGGCTGATTAATATCCCATTGTAGGTGTATGCCATACTCCATTTATCTAGTCATCCATTGATGGACACTTGGATCGCTTCTACCTTGGCTGTAGTATATAATGCTGCTATGATGCTATGAACATGGTGTACACATTTCTCTTTCAGACTCTGCTTTCTTATCTTGAGGATCTCTTTGAAACCCTCACTTCTGTGTGTATACCCAGAAATGGAATTATTGGGTCATATAGTAATTCAATTTTTAAATTTGTGAGAAATTGCCATACTGTTTTTCACAGAGGCTGCACAATTTCAAATTCCCGCCTATGGTTCCCATAGGTTCCAATTTATGTATATTCTCCATGAAATGTGTTACTTTCTCTTTTTTTATAGTAACCATCCTAATTTTTTAAGTTGAGATATGTTTGATTTACAATATTGTGTTAGTTTCATGTGTCAGCAAAATGATTTCTATTTTTCTGTTCTTTTTTCTATTCTTTTCCATTACAGTTTACTACAAATATTCAATATAGTTCCCTGTGCTATACAGTAAGTCCTTGTTGTTTATCTATTTTATATATGGTAGTGTGCATCTGTTAATACCATGCTCTCAATTTATCCCTCCCAGCTTCCCCCTTTGGTAACCATAGATCTGTTCTCATGTCTGTGGGGCTATTTCTGTTTATGATACAGAAGAACTTATTCTTCTGTATCATATTTTAGATTCCACATATAAGTGATATCATAAACTTGTCTCTTTTCACTTAGTATGATAATTTCTAGATAATTTCTAGATCCATCCATATTGTTACAAATGGTATTGTTTCATTCTTTTCTGTGGCTGAGTAATATGTCATCACATATATGTACCACAACTTCTTTATTCATCCTTCTGTTGATGGACACTTAGGTTGTATTCGCTACTGTAAACAGTGATGTTATGAACATTGGAAGGCATGTATCTTTTCAAATTACTTTTTACCTTTTCCAGATATATGCCCAGGATGGGATTGTTGGATCATATGGTAGTTCTATTTTTAGCTTTTTAAGGAACATCTATACTGTTTTCCATAGTGACTATACCAATTTATATTCCTACCAACAGTGTAGGAGGGTTCCTTTTCTCCACACCTTCTCAAGCATTTATTATTTGTAGACTTTTTATAATGGTCATTCTGATCAGTGTAAGGCGATACTTCAGTGTGGTTTTGATTTGCATTTTTCTAGTGATTCGTGATGCTGAGCATATTTTCATGTGCCTGTTGGCCATCTGTCTTGTCTCCTTTGTAGAAATGTTAAATTAGTTCTTCTGCCCTAACCATCCTATTTTTTAAATAGAACCTGAATAAACTCCCCATGTACATGTTCAAAAGTCAAACAATTGAGTACATCCAACTAGAGAAGACTTGGAGACTAATGTAGGATTATTAATTACAGACTTCCTTGAAGGGTGGAGGATGCCTCCTGCTCTCTCATTACCACACTGAGTCTCCTCCATCTCCTCTGTGGGCCTCATGCTACTTCCTTATCATCCCTTTCCAAACATCCCTCTCTCATCTGACTTGCCCTGCTGGGTTCAGCCTCCACAGGAAGCAGAGTCTGGTCTCCATCTACTTCTCTTTCTTGGAAAGCAGTTGTCTGGAATTCTGGTGAGTATATCTCTTCATTTTGTTAGACAGATAGTGAAAATCACTTGGCACACAGTAAATAATAAATGTACCTAATCTTCTAGTACTTACCTCATGGGGTGTTGTGAACATTGAGTACATAAATGCACACACAGTTCTTAGAACACTTAAGTGCTATCTGAGGTTAGCTGTTATTATTGTGTTGGTCATATTGGGGAGCCTAGTTTGTCAGGACTTAATCACTTTTGAGCAAGAGATGCTGCCAACAACTTTGGGTCCAGGTGACCACTTAGAGGAAAGTCACCTTGAAGCAGATAATCTTTGGCTTTTCCAGAACTTTAAAGTGTTCCCTCTAAGGATGTAAATGTAAGGGGAATTCGTACCATCGCAGTGGGGAAATGGAATGACAGAGCTTTTGTAGGCTGACAAAATCTTATACTCTTCATAGGAGAAGGAGATAAACAAATCTATACAGGGCTCAAGGAAATCTTTTTTTTTTTCTTTTTTTGCCACACGGCATGTGGGATCTTCGTTCCCTGACCAGGGATCAAACCAGCATAACCTGCATTGGAAGCACAGAGTCTTAACCACTGGACCACCAGGGAAGTCCTCAAAGAACCTTTTAAAAAGAAAAGGAGTGAAAGAGAATCCTTTCCTCATGAGAGTCTGTGTTACCAACAGGACCTCTATGTGAGATGTGTGAGGTTCTGACTGACTCAGCTGACAGAATCTGAAACAGCTCTAGAGGGAACTCTCTGAGAAGAAGGGCCCCCTGGGCTGGTGGGGCAGGGTCCGGGGGCTCCGTGGGAGGCGGGGACGAAGGCAGTGAAGAGTTCTGGCTTCTGCCTGCCTCTGGCAGCCCCTCTGAACTAGAAGCATCCCACCACAGCAGTGGAGAAGAAGTAACAAGTGACCCTACAGTCATGTCTGGCAGCTAGTTTATTTGGAACTCCCTGTATGTCCATAGTTTTTCACTTCTGAAAGAGACACTAGAACCTGAGAATCTTTCAGTTTGCGTGCCTAGCACCCAGCACATGTCCGGAATGAGGCAAGTACTCACTAAAGATTGTGGGACTGGAGTAAGCCAGAAGGGCAAGCAGGACCAGGCGCTGGGAGCCGGGGCGTCTCTTCTCTTCTTGCCTCAGCCCTGGAGCCGAGTTGTGGGGGGCAGTCACCAGTGCCGCGGACTCTGTGAGTGAGGACCATCCTCTGGGAATGAAGGACAGGAGCTTTCTTCTCTTCCTCATGGTGTGGCACAGTTTCACTTTGCCTTCTCAGCACTTAAAATCATAGCGTTTAAAAATGGAAAATCAAGGTTTGTCCAAGGAATGAATCTTTTCCTCTTTGCCTCTCTTTTCATGGGTTAAAACCATAGTATAACGAGTCCAGAGCATTAGGTCCAAATGGTTTTGCTTACAAAGGTGGGAAGAACTGGCCTTTATCTAATTATGCAAGAATACTGAGCGACTCTAGAACCTGGCAAACACCTATCCTGCCTCCTGGACCAGAACAAGAGGGCTGGTCTGCCTCCTGAGTACTCTGCCTACTGTGTATATAGCAGCCGGCATCGCATAGACACAGCACCATGGTAACTGGCACAGTCTCAGATCCATCCTTTTATTACTTACCCTTTTATCCCCCCTTTCTTAAATTGTGCAAAGAAAGCAAGTTCTGTGTGCTCCACCCAAGCACATAGGAAGAGCAGACTTTCACAGGGCAACCAAGGAAGGGGAGGTAACATCCACCTATTGGAAGTGAGACAGTTCTGGAATTCTCCTCCACAGACTATCTGTGTGACCTTAGAACTGACCCTGTCTCGAGCTCCAGATTCCTTCAAGGTAAACTGGGAAGGACAGGAGTAAACTCATCTCCAAGACTTTTTGGAGGATTAAATACACTAACAAGTACTGTATGGTAGTTCCTGGGTGAAGAGTTCCTTTTCTGTGGGGACAGCCAAAGGGCTGTGTGTATCAGCCCCGGAACAGCAGCGGGGTCTCCTGGGGGGATGGAGGTGTTCATTTCCCAGGCGCTCCCTGACATTTCCCCTGTCATCCATATTTGACTAACTGCCGCAGGCATGTTCAGACAGAAGTTTCTAGCGTGCAGGACCTCATCTGTAAACAGTTTACATCCTCAGGCTGCTTTTCAGTGGGGCCCCCGCAACGGCTCCTAAGTAGGAACCATGAACTCCGTCCTCAAGTGCTGCTGTTCTGCTCAGGATAAACTGAGCCAGAGGAAGGCCCAGCTACCAGCAATTATGAGCAGCACTGCAGTGCTTGGTGTCTCCCCGAAGGGCCCTTAGGCTCACATCTGGGGAAACAGTTGGTGGGAGAACTAGAAAAAAAGATCCCTCTTGTTCTTCCTGATGGGCTGTATTCCAAAGGCAGTGGTTGACAGGAGCATCTTCTGGGCTTTTCCCAATCCATTTAAAGGCATCTAAAAGAAATGAAAATTGTCTTCACCCCACCCTTTCTTTGCTCTCCCTCTTTCTTTTCTTCTCTTTTTGTCGCTCTTTTCTATTCTCATCCCCTAATAGGGATAGCTTTTTCAAAGTATCCTGGCACCAACAGCTCCATACAAAGAAGTGCTATTTTCCCCTAAACTAAAAAAGCCTATTATAATAATAATTTTGAGGCAGAAAACTCAAAGCCAAGGTAATAAGTGCACTTTTTAAATCTTTTTTTTTTAATGAATGATATACTACACACTTGTGGGGAAAAGAATCCAATATAGGTATGTGGGTGTTTGTGTGCTCAGTCATGTCCGACTCTTTGCAACTCCATGGACTGTAGCCTACCAGGCTCCTCTGTCCATGGAATTTTCCAGGCAAGAATACTGGAGTGGGTTGCTGTTTCCTCTTCCAGGGGCTCTTCCCTACCCAGGGATCGAAACTGCAACTCTAGTGTCGCCTTCATCTCAGCTTTTTTACCACTTTTTTTTTTTAACCGCTTTTTTTTTTAACCACTTTTTTACCACTGAGCCACTAGGGAAGCCCCCAGTATATATGTACAGTATATATATTTTATGCAATGAATAGGATAAAAGCCTTCCATTCTCACCCATTCCCTCCACCCTCTTCCCTGGAGGTGATCACTACTTAGTAGTTTGATATGCATTCTTCCAGACATTGCTGTCATTTTTTGGTCATTTGGCAGTTATGTCATGCTTGCCTACTATGTTCTGGGCACAGTGATAAGTGTTAGAAACAACAGTGAATAAATGTATATAGATACACATACATGTATTTATCTGTCATATCTATTGGCAAAAATGGGCTGACCCTCAGGACTCACCCGGCAGGCAGAGCGGCAGGAGCAGAGTACACCTGCCCACACCCAGCTGGCCAATGGTAACTGAGTTCACACGCTGGCCACCACAGCTCCCATTACAGCCTGCTGTCCTGGTCATCCTGTTTCTAGTGTCTCCTTCAGCAATAAATTCTGTAGGCACCGATAAAACAAGGAGAAGGAAAGATGAAGAAATAAACTTGAGGACATGAAAAATGCAGCCAGACAAAGACTGGCTGTGTGTGTGTGTGGTTTTTTTTTTTTCTTAAAAATAGTCACTTCTTCGTGCCTGTGGATGGGGTAAGGAATGTGTGTGTTGGGGTGGGGGTGGGGAATGGGCAGTGAGTCCTCCCTTTGTGATTAAGAGCAGTAAATGCAGTTAGAGACAGTAAGAAGTTTTGCTCCATACTCCTCCCCACAATCTGCCCCACCCCAGTTTCCTGCTCTGGAGCTGCTAATGAATAACCCATCTTACCACCCCTCCCAGGGCACCGTCTCAGGCCTGGGTGCTTCGACAACCCTGAGGTTCAGGGGACATTCCTCAGCAGTTACTTAGCTGGGTGATGGAAAAAAAAAATGCAGCCTAATTGGCTAGTGGCCTTTTCTAGTGAATGAAGGTTTCTGTTTTAAGAAGTAAAGTGACTTCTCAGCGGCTGTTGATTCACTGCTCACAGGGAGATTTTTGAGCAGAGGCTTCCTAGCCTCGGTAGAAATTTGCATACAGCTTCCACTTCCTGTTTCAGAGCCTGTTCCACGGCTTACCTGGGCCAGGAGAGGGTGGAGGGAGGCCTGGAGCGGCCCAAGGTAGAGTGGCCCGGAGAAGGAGAGAGAGAGCGCGTGACCACCCGTGGCCGGCCTGTCTGTCCTTGGCGGCTCTAAGGTAAGTGGTTCAGTTGTCACCTGACTGACCTTACTTCTTAACTCCTGATCCATTTTCCGAAACACTGTTTTCTCCTTTCCTGAAAGTGCCGTCTCTCTTTCCTCCGCCTGCCTCTCACCTTTCATTTGTTAGTTCGTGTACGGAGAGACAGCTCCGGCTGAGAACATGACAGCTACGTGTCGGCAGCGAGACAGGGCCAGTGGTTTAGTATTTCAGTCAGGAGAGCGAAGATTAACTCTTTGAGGAATAGACACACACACACAGACACACCCCTGTGTTTGAGGACTTTTAGTGTCCCCACAAGTCTTGATGAAGAAGACAAGCCCCTCCCCACCCCCCTTCTCCAGGGAGGGAGCCGGGGAAGGCAAAAATGAAGACTTTGGATTCCAGCCCCGGGACGGGATGCGTCAGTGGCAGAGGTGGAAGGAGATCTCCCGAGTTTTCTTGATCCCTCTTTCACTGAGGGGAAAAAAAACCAACACCCTGTTCTTGAGCCAGGAAGTCCAGCCCTGTTCCGTGCTGGCTGTGGCTCTGCCAGCCCCTCTGCCCCAGCCCTCCACCCTCCCACACCACCCAGGCATTTGCTGGCACAGATAGCCGGCCTGAGCCTTTAGGAAAAACAAGGAGAGAAGTGCTATTATTTTCTCTTAGAAGCTTATCGAGCTTCATGTGACTGTCAAGTTCAAGGTGGTCTCTTAGTATAGGGGGATATTTTTAAATGAACAGGAAAATAAGTAATAAAAACAGAGAACCTGAAACTTGGTTTCAGATTCTCCCTTCTCTGCTTGCTGACTCTGTGACTTAGGCAATTTACTTTTTTTTTTTTTCCATGAGCCTGGATTTCTTCATCAATAAAATGTGGGTGGGGGTGGTGAGCTAAGAAGATTATGTTGAAATTCACTTCTAAGAAAATAAGGTGAGGGTGATGAGGATCCCAGAGGGGCAGCCATAGTGGGCGGTCTTAGAGGATATGTGTTTTGTTTACTGATGATTCAAATGTATTAATCTTACCTCTCCTACTAGATAGTCCCTGGAGGAAAAGGGCTTAATCCTTCTTTACCCCCCAGCACTCAGAATACTATCAAACACTTCTGGGGCGTTCAGGTTTCTTCCACATAAACTGCTCTGATTCATTTCACTCATCTATAAAAGGTGAAGCCTTAGTCTGGGTGAAAGACTGCGTGGCTAGGGGAGGGTACTAGGCAGCCACATGGGTCTGTGGGAGAGCTGCCTGGAATTTAGGTATTGTTTTTGACTCTAGTTAAATAGGAGAACACAGGGAGTTTCTTGAATTAGTTTCTGTCCCATTTGGGTTACCCAGGAAGACATGGCCTGTGCACTTGCCCAGAGTCCAGGCAGCACCAGAGAGCTGGCACACAGGCCTGGCTCCAGAAGGCTGTGTTACTGACTCAGCTGGAGCTGGAAATGACTCCTTGGCTAGACCAGTTGCTTTGTGTGGGGCCTTTAATGGGAGGTGAAAGGAAGCTGTGAAGCACATCCTGATACCATGTAAGGGTGATGACTAGGATCCGACACATTATTAGAGGGTGAACACCCAGAATTCTTAACCTTTTCCAAACCACTACGTTGTTTTAAAAAAGAAAAAAAATCATTGTTTCTTTTGAGCTCATTCTGTCCCTCCATATAGTTCACACGGGCCCTGGTTGAGTGGGATGGGCTGACTCAGGGCTTTTGGTATTGCTCAGCTGTTTCTGTGGAATATGAAGGCCCTGGTATGGTCCTCATCATGCTTTCAGATGACTCTCTCTCATCCTGGGATGAGAGGACAGGAATTTCAAGATGTTTCACCTGTGACGCGTTACTGATTTTTATTTTCAAATAACATGCACCATTATCTGAAATCAAGCCAGCTGTAGTTTGCTGCCAGCCAAGCTTTGACCCAGAAAGACCACCCACAGACATTCTTCATCTTGCGTCATTTGTGATGGAACACAAAGCCCCTGCTTTGCTCAGTGCTTGGGCTGGGCTGACTAAGTGTGAAGTCTGGGCGTGTTCGGGAGAAGACTGTTAACTCAGGGATACCTCACTTTGGGGGGGTTCAAAGATGGAATATATTTAAGCCTGCTCAAAATTAAGGAGCTAGTGACTTTCAAATGCTCTGAAAATAAGGAGAAGGCAGTCATAGCTGCAGAAATTCAGAATCATAGTTGCAGGCACTCAGAAAGATCGGCTATGCGGGTAGTTTGCCTAAATTAAATCTATGTTTTGAAGAGTTGAAATCTCAGAAATATCCTGAATTCGAATCATTTTTCCACGACAGACAATTTTTGATTAGTCTTTCGAAACACATATGAATTGCAGGCAACTGCTGCATGGGAAAAAAAAGAGCACACAGATGAGGCATATTAAACTTTAAATTCCTTTCAGATCCAACGAGATGACCCCTAATGTTTGATCATATTTCCTTATCAAAACAACCCTGCAGTCCTTCCGTGAGAAAGTATCGGAGGATTAGAGTAAAGCAGCTCTCCCCCGGGCCTCTTCTGTTTCTTCTAGTGCATTGTCACCGAGGTATTTTTAGTTCATGAAGCCCAGGCTGTCCTTCTCCCTCAGACATTTGACATTCTTTGCGTCTCTTGCCCAGCAGGCCTCCTACTCACCCACATGTGTGTTGATGCCTGAGAGTTAAGCTTGCTCTGTACCTCTGTGCATGTGTGTTTGTGTGTGTGTGTGTATACACAGAACTTCCTGGATACTTGAAGCTTTAAACTCACTGAGGGAGGAAGGTGAGCTTTCATCCCGCTCGTGACCTGTGAAGCTATGCCAGTCTGGAGTGATTTCCTGATAAGGCAGCTGAGATCAAGTCGTTTGGGACTGACGGGAGCCCCCAGCCCGCGTGACCCCCTTCCTTCACCCTGAAGACCCAGACTGGCTGAGGTCTGGGCAGCTACTTCAGTGATGATGGGAACTTGGCTTTTCCCACCTCACTGTTTCCTGCACTAAGGGTTCCAGTGTTTTTCCTTCTTCCTCTCCCAGGCCGGGTTCCCAGGTCTCCCTCCCACCACCCTTCCTCCTCTGTGCTGTTGGCCCAGACTCTTCTGGGCTCAGCAGCTCCCCTCCAACACTCTTGCCTTTTACCTGCACTCATTCTCTTCCACCCCTTCCAACTGCCCCTTGTCTTACCCAGCAACATGTCAAAATCACAATTTAAGTGAGCCTCTGTCCTCCACCAATAAAGGACAAATTTTTTTAGCTTTTCCTTCAGAGTTTCTCACTCTTCTGGCTTCTCTTCCATTTTCCTTTCCTCCTTTCCATCCCTTCTTCTCCCTCTCTGGATTTTTTCCTTTCTGCCCCTTCTCCTTCATTCTGGGGTCTGGACTGAATTAAGAATCACAAATGTGTGTTTAGAGAAACCTTATCTGAAACAAACAAACAAAAGAACCCATGGGCTGGTTTGAGGTCGTTCTGGAAACGGTTTTTACCAGCTTCCAGCATGGTGGAGCCAGTCCATTCCCATTAGCCCCGTCAGCCAGTTGAGCAGCTCAGAGGAGTTCCAGAGCGAACTTCTAATCAGGTCGGGTCACGCTGCACTGCCTTCAGCATGCTGTGAACTGTACTGTGCAAGACACGAACAAGGGCCAGTAAAGGTTCCCTCATCTCCAGGGCTCACCACTGCTTCCAGTCCTCTGGCAAACCAAGTGGAAGAACTTCTCTGTCTGGGAAATTCTGCAAGTAAACTTGGAAATATTTACTCACTGGAATTTGAACCTGAGCCATACAGTTCACTCAAAACCAACTTCCACTAAGCCAACTAACGTTGGGAAAGTTTGCATGCATTTGGGTAGTAAATGAAGAATGTTAATGAGTTTAAAGTTTTGTTGTTGTTTTTTAATCCAGAACTTTCAGACACTTACGGAAAAAAATGACTCCCTGGAGAATGAAGTAAGACCTTGAGAATCTGTGATAGCAAAGATCTGATCCAAATTGGATCTGAGGCTCTTCCTAGCTGTAAATTTATATATTTATTAATATATCCCCCCAAAATATTCATGCTGTGTGTCTCTAAGGCCCTTCAACCCTATGGTTGACCCAAAGAATGCTTAAAGAAAAAAATCCAAGCAGTTGGTAACAGCAAGACTTGATCATTTAGGGGCTAGTAATGTGGTTTATTACCCACTCCAGTTCTCTTGCCTGGAAAATCCCGTGGACGGAGGAGCCTGGTAGGCTGCAGTCCATGGGGTCGCCAAGAGTCGGATACGACTGAGCGACTTTAATTTCACTTTTTACTTTCATGCATTGGAGGAGGAAGTGGCAACCCACTCCAGTGTTCTTGTCTGGAGAATCCCTGGGATGGTGGAGCCTGGTGGGCTGCCGTCTATGGGGTCGCACAGAGTCAGACACGACTGAAGCGACTTAGAAGCAGCAGCAGCAGCAGCAGCAATGCGGTTTATTAATTACTCAGGCTGCTCACTCCTGCCCTTCCTCTGCTTCTTGCTCTGCTATTTGTCTTCTTCCAGGGACATAACACCTTCATTAAATCCCATCCGTCCTTGCCTCAGAGGCGTCCCCTGGAAAATATCCCCTCTCTAGATGCATCGCCATTTATCATCACCCTTTGTTTGTGCTCTGTCAACAAGTTTTCAATTTATTTTGAATTCAGTTTATGATTAAAATTTAATGAGATCCAATCAAGTGCCTTTCTCAAATCAAGATGCCTTGGCAATCTCACCCATATCCTCTATTGTAGTGGCATGAAGGAAAGCCATCACAGGTTTCCAGCCTGGCCATTCTTCATAAAACACAGGTGGCAGGTATCCACGCCCCCTTAGCTTCAAGGTGAATGGTTCTGAAATCTACTTATTCCAGAAACTTCTAAGGTTTACTCAGCTCCTGCCATCCCCTTTCTCTGCTGCCCCCAAAAGCTGCGCAAGTCCATGCTTCCAACCAAGAGGCAAGAGGGTTCAGTGCACAGGCTCTGGTACTGAATTGCCTGGATTTGAACCCTAGCTCTGCTCTTTACTAGCTCTGTGGCCTTGAGAAAGTTACTTGACCTCCCTGTGTTTGGTTTCCCCATTGCCAAAATAGGGCTGATGCAGTGCCTATGAATAGGGTGTCTGTGAGGATAAGTTAGTACATCCAAAACACCTGGAACAATATTTGACCT